TATAAAAACCTAGATAGGTATATGTATATACAATTAAAACATAAAATATCGTGGTGCTTTCCAAAATTTAATAGGAATAATTATTAAATAAAATAATAATCTATTATCGCAATAAAATTTGAATAAGAATTTGTGCTAGCTGACAATGGCAACACTGTTTAAAATCTCGAAACCTGGTTGTATTCGTCTAGGAACGCCCACCTGAATCGTTTTGTCTTTGTTAAGATGACCAGATAAAGAAGGATGCAAATATTGCCGGAGCAAGCCCGATCATAATCGCGAATGCGCTCTAGTATTTATAGTAAGAAATGTCAAACGGGTTTTGTTTGTAATTGGCCCGCATTGTCCGCAATCTTATCCCCACTCCATGTGGTTCATTCAATAATCCACTATTGTCGTTTAGGATTGTTGGCCGCAGAAACCAAACGATTTTATGAATGACTTGCCCTCTCTATTTATATAGTGTTACTCTGAGGTACTGCCTAAACGGTGATGGATACAAAAAATCTGATATAAGTGTCGCGATCTATTTTTTTGAGTATAGTTTAATGGACCACTCAGAATTTTTCGAAATTCCTTTGTTTTCGATATACAGGGGGTTTTTGGAAAATAGCTGATTTCTGTTTTCCTCTGTATCTCAGTTGTTATCCAAAATTTTAAAAAATGTCAAATTACGTTTTTGTGTGATTTTTCACTTAGAATCCAGTGGCGTACTCAATTTTTTTTTAGGGGTATTATTTTTCGAGATATAGTCAAAACTTCAACTTTTTTAAATCGGACACCCTATATATTTTCACACCGATAAATTAGGGTTTTTTTTTGTGATTCTAATGATATATAACACTTTATAGTTTCAATAATTTTAACTGTCAAAACCGCGAAAAAACTATATTTTCAGGGTATTTTATAGAAGTTGTTCCTCGGATTTAGCGATCCCGAACACAAACGTGGTACGGCGATAGCGGAAGCAAGTGCGGCAGCGACACGGGGTCAGAATGGGCTCTTTCACTAATTTTTGAAATTGGCATGTTTAGATAAAGCAACTAAAAACAGAATTTTCTGTATTTTTACTTTTGAAAAATTCATAGTCCTTCTTGAGAAAACAGAAAAATAAGAAATACCTCCAAATAAAACCCCAGAATTTATTTCTATGACGTCGCATCTCGCAATTTGACCGTGTTGCCACTAATTGTCAACATTGAAAATTTGTAATAGATTTAATTCTGAAATGTTGGAAAAATATCATGAAAAGTAGTTCAATTAATTAGTTATGGATTCAAGATTTTATACCATTTTTTTTTGAAATTATGCTTAAACACAATTTAATACAATTTTTTATGTTTAGTTTTATTTATTTTTTTACGTTGCACTACATTCAGTCACAACCGACAACAGCGCATTCGAACCTTGCTGTGCTTTTACAGAGCGCAACATAGCCGAGCCGGTCAGCTTCTTGCAACAACATGAGCGAAATGGAAAATATTTATGTGACGTCAGCGAATCGGCGCGTTTTAAATGATTTTGAATTTCTCTAGTTTCAAATAAAAAACTTATTTAACCTCTTGTAGAATTTTTTTTTTGGTATATATGCCTAAAATAGTCCCTTTAGGATTTTATACTTAAATTACGTATTTAAATTTTAGTGAAAGAGCCCATAAATGTGGTGGGATTTAATACATTTCATCCTAAAGCGTTATTTCGCTTACATATCCTACCACATGTTTTTAATCCCACGGAGCTGTCCCTCCCACGGTACCGCACTGGTGTGTAGGATCCTTTAATGAACATTTTTACGTGAACTAGCAGACAGAATAGCTAACTAGGCTTCGAACCTAGGACCCCTAGATTCAGTAACCGCCGATGTTTGCAGATTGTAGCACTAACACGTTAAAAGTTGACAAAACACTTGACCGATTGTGCAAAAATGAACCGACGGCATCTGTATCTCAGTTGGTATAAGACTAGTAATCTAGAGGTCCTAGGTTCAAATTCTAGTCTCATCCAAACTTTTCGTAAACTAAGCCACTGGAAAAATTAGCTCACGCTCACGCTCACACTATTAACTGCATAACTAGATGTTCGATGACGTATTTGTTAGATTTTTGTTTATTTAAGTTACTGGTTCACGAGTTATTTGATCCATATACCTAGTTAGATTACGTTAAATTTTTGTTTTCAATACAAGTTTTGATGATTTATTAAAATCCACTTCTTTGCTTACTACACTCGTATCATAAAAGTCCATCTAGTAAAAAACTAATTTACAATTATCGAGCATCCTAATATTTAATTTTAAGGGTTGATTTTTTGTCAGTATAATATTTATAAGAAAATTCGTTCGTGGCACAGCAGGGAGAATTGTGGCTAGGTAGGTACTTAAAAGTTACCGAAGAGTTTGGGTTAGACGCGACTACTGAACCTAGAGTTTCTAAGTTCGAATCCTAGTCGGGTCCATACTTTTAGTTAACTTTTCAATTAGCCATTATTCTGTTTGCTAGGTCACGAAAGATTTCCCTTATTTATAATTAATTTAAAAACAAGGTGAAATTTTCAGGTTGAATAAAGATTTATCCTATAGTCTATTTATTTACCTACATATTAAAAAATTGAAATATTTAATTTTAAATAAAATTACTAACGAACTACGGCTGGATATGATTTGTTTTATTAAAAATAGTCATTAAAGCAATTGAAGGATCCTACACACCAATGCGGTACTGGGGGTACGGGATTAAAACATGTGGCAGGATATGAAAGCGAAATAACGTAGGTAGGCGCAGAATGACGCGGGACTGCGGTAGCGGGAGCGGGAACGGGAACGATACGTTAGATGCGGCAGCGGGGAGTTTGCATAGCATGCACACCAACGCGATAGTTTCTGCCATATTCGAAACACGTGGTAGCGTCCAAACAATACAAAAACATCATCAAACTACTATGCGAACTGCGGGAAAACGCTGCACGCTAAGAACCGAAATTAATTCGCACACATTCCGCAAATCGCATGCGGTCTCTCCGTACCGGTATGCATTTCTTCATATCTCGCCGTTGATTTACGTCCCGCAAAAGTTTCGTTCCCGCTTCCGCAGGCCCGCGTCAGTCTGCGCCTACCTTTAGGATGAAATGTATTATATCCCACCACATTTTTTAATAATTCTAATCCCGTGTCGCTACCGCACTTGCTCCCGCTACCGCCGTACCACGTTTGTGTTCGGGATCGCTAAATCCGAGGAACAACTTCTATAAAATACCCAAAAAATATAGTTTTTTCGCGGTTTTGACCGTTAAAATTATTGAAACTATAAAGTGTTATACATCATTAGAATCACAAAAAAAACCCTAATTTAACAGTGTGAAAATATATAGGGTGTCCTATTTAAAAAAGTTGAAATTTTGACTATTTCTCGAAAAATAATACCCCTAAAAAAAATCTGAGTACGTCACTGGATTCTACGTAAAAAATCACACAAAAACGTAATTTGACATTTTTTAAAATTTTTGATAACAACTGAGGTACAGAGGAAAACAGAAATCAGCTATTTTCCAAAAAACCCCTGTATATCGCAAAACAAATGAATTTCGAAAAATTCTGAGTGGTCCATTCAACTATACTCAAAAAACTAGATCGCGACACTTATATCAGATTTTTTGTATCTATCACCGTTTAGGCTGTACCCGGCATTCCCACCCAAAATGACTCACCCTGTACACGATAAAAAGTCACAAAAATATTACACGTACCTATAGTGTAGGCAAGTTAGATGTTGAACCTGAAAAAATTCTATACAAGCATTTCTTAACAAAAATGCACGAGGAGTAACGTTCTAAACAACATACTAAAAGTCCCATGGATTATGTCTCTGGCAAGTTGAAAAAAACGGCCGCCATTTTGTTTTTTACATTTTATTGCAAATATCTCAAAAACTATCAGGTTTATGAGGAAAAGTAGAAGGATATTTTTTACTTAAAATGCAAATTTACATTGGTTGGGATGTATTAGCAACATGTATTTAAATATTTACTGACTTTTTCCAGTTTCACAAAAGAATACCTACTACGTTCAATTAAAAGTAATATCATCATTTTCATATACGATGCACGAATTGCAGCAATTCATTCCTAAGTATTGACCACATTTTGCAGAACATTTTAATCCAAGTTTTCTGCAGGAGCATGCCTTGTTGCATGTCCCTTCCTTGCAATTATAGAAGACCATTTTTAGTATATCAGAGGGGACAATTTCTTTTGTTACCGATGTAGGCGCAAGATGCCCATCTCTATCTCGTTCCCATCCGTAGAATAATGGATCTAACTTGTATCCCATCCACTCTTGTATCTTAAAATTACATACTTCATTATTTGCATCAAGTGATAATAGACATGTTGAACAGCAGCGTCTTTGGTTGGGGGAAGCGCAGCCAAGTTAAAGTTTGACGAGATGTTATTCGATTGTATGAAGTAAATCAAGGTATCAATTTTTTCTTTGCTATTCCTGGGCCTATGCAGTCTGGTTATAAATGTTACGCCTACTTCTAATAATTGGTTTTTATCTGGATTTTGTTGGTAAAATATTTGAAGACTTTGACATAGGGGAATATCATTTTTCAACAGTTTTAAACATAATGTTCTACTTTTTTTGAAAATGAACGAAGTGGTGTCGCAACCTGATATAGCATAAAGAAATAATATGTATTGTTTAATATGCCCAAGTTTTTCTTGAAGTTCTCATATATTTGCTACTTTATCAGCTTTGGCAGCTTTCCCGAGACGACGCAGAATCATCTTTTCATGCTCCGAGTGATGAATCAACAGAACAGAACAGCAACGTCTGTGTCTTCAGATACAACTACGGTTGTTCTGCCACAATTAGAAAGTTTTACTGCAGTCCTAACGATTAAATAGTCTGCGTCGCTTTCAGCCTGTATTATTTTAATACCTGTTTGTTTAAACCGAATCTTTAAAAGCTCTATGATGAGTTTCTGCTTGTTGTTATTATTCCGTTAAAATTCTTCCTGTGGCGTAACAATTGAATTTTCCAATTTTTCCGATATTTCTATGGCATTTTGTGATCTGACTTGTTGCAGAGCGTCCTTTGTTGAAAAACGATTTAAATTGTAACCATCGAAAACCACTACACAGTCCTGACCATAATTATGTTTAGCATAATTAATATATTTATCGCAAATTTGGTGGAACGTAGTGGGCTTTTGCCATAAGACTTTGTGTAGGACTTGTAGGAGAAAACCGCCGTCAACTATATATATTGCGTTTTGCTCAGTGGACGAAATGGGTGTAGCCAATAAAGCATCAAATTCTTTAAAAAGAAGGCTTTTTGTGCCTTGCCTTAAAATACCATCCTTAAAAAGAGATAACGGATACGGAGATAATTCAGAGCTGAAACTGTCCCTTATTTCGTCTGGAGTTTTGTTGGAGCATATAATTCTATCAAATAATTGCATAGGGGATACATTAACATAATTCTGATTAATTTTAATATTATTGCTCATTTGTGAAAAATTTTTGGATTTGATCCGTTCGCTTGCATTTAATAATTGTGAATACTTTGCCTATATTTTTTGTTAGTACTGGTCTTCCAATTTCATCTGCTAAATCGCAGTTTATATCGGATTTAGCTATTCGTCCAGAGAAAACTGATATGAACTCCTTGAATTTATAAAGGTTGTATTATTCTAGCCAATCTTGAATTTTTTGCAAATCAGTTTTATCAGGTTGCTGGCGTCAGCGACTTAATTCTATATAGGTACTGTTCTGAAGTCACAGACTTACATCCCAAAGAATCTTCCATAGCTGTTGTAACATGCATACAAACTGACATACCAGCAATCCATCTGGCCAAAGACGAATGAGTAAATCCGCGTCCATGAGTTAGGCCACCAGTTGTTTTGACTGACTTCATCAAATTCTGCTCGATCACCATGTCGGTCCAAGTACCGGACCAAAAGTTGTTGGTTCTTCTTACAGTGAACATTCCTTCATTAACAAATTTTTCATAGTTTTCAGGACTCATATTATGAAGTCTCTGAATCTGTTGTAGATGAAGGTGGGTACTTTTGGCATAATTATTATGACCTGTTGCGTAAAATATTGGGATCATCAATCTTGTTTGTTTAATTGCACCAAAGTTACACCAAGCTGCGCCAGGTGCAGCAAAAAATCAGTCTGTCTCTATCAGACTAACAAAAATATAGGGATTAAAATACATTTGGAGTAGAAAGTGCCATATTGATGCAAATAAACAAACAAAGCTATTGGCGGCCACTTTTTTGCAACTTGCCATTGTCAGAATCTACGGGACTTTTAGTATGTCATCTAGGGCCATATTATTTGTATGTTCCCACTCATAAACATTTGTATATAATTTTTTCAGAAGTTGGACCTAAATTTCGATAACTTGACTACACTACTAGTTAAAATAATTCTCTCGAGGACCGCCAAAGAGTCAAGATTTAAATATAAATATAAATTTTCTTTTGTATTTTATTATAATTTTTAGAAAAAATAAGTTATTCTTTCAATGATTTTCATTTAGTGTTATTAGGTGTTCTGGTGTTCATTGAATGTTCCTTGAATTCATTTTTCAATTCATGTCAATTTCTAAAAATTAAAATAAAATACAAAAGAAAATTATATTGATATTTAAATCTTGACTCTCTGGCGGTCCTTGAGAGAATTATTCCAACTACGTGTAATATTTTTAAAGTTTTATATTGTTTGTGACCTTCTATCGTGTACAGATCTGTAATTATCGCTGTGTCGGTCGTGATGTTTTTATTCTCGTTGTCGCTATCCTTTTACAATTTTAACTTCTGTGTCGAAACCTGACAAGTAGTACTGATGATGGCGCAAGCCGAAAGTGCTCTACTACGCTGAATTTCAATAAATGAAAATTTGCATGAAAGGCACTTTGTTTCCTTCCTTATCCAAACACATGCACAGCCTCCTCTCGTTGGTTTATGCTTTTGAGGCTTTTCTCTATGCTTCTTCATTGGAGCTTAAGTTGTCGTTACGGATAGGAAAATTTGGCAACATGAGGTTACCTATGCTCTTTCTTGATTGACCGGTGAATTTGGGTAAGAGTAGATCTACGTCTTGAAAGCACGATAGAGAAATAGTGTTGAGATATTTCTGCAAGAAGAAGATCGGATATGCTGTGCAAATAATATTGTATTGTCTCAACAATCGTGCGAATAATGTTTTTGCACGACACATAATATTCGTGATATATGAATATAAATGATTTCCTATTTTTGTCATGGCGTGCTCGCGCCTGGGTGATCTTCAATAAACTTGTGATGCAAAAATAGAGAAGTCCTACGTGAAAAATACAATAACTGTTATGCCCCTTTAGCTCATCAAAACGTCAGCACGGTTTCCAGCGTTCGCAGACAACAAACTAATAGAATCAATTTTAAACTGATTTCAAATGCGCTGTAGATTTAAAATATTCTTCCAGATCAATGGTTTTTGTAAGCCCTTTGTGTGTTTATTTAAGCAGACTTAATTTCCGTACTTTTTTAATAATGTTTTCAATAATGAAATTTATGCAGAGCCGGTCAAATCTAGTGAATGTTTTTCTTCCAGGATATATTTCCATGGTCTGTAAGTATTTCTCCCTAAAGTTTCGTCTACTGCTGCCGTAGACATTTTCAGAGGCGGTGTGGTAGAGGACGAAGTAGGTATTTTCTTCATCCTCTACTATACCGCCTTTGGAGGTAGCAGTAGAAGAAACGTTAGGTAGAAATACTTACAGAGCACGGCAATATAGCATGGAAAAAAAAAATTCACCAATTTATGTAGGTATTATTGTTAGATCTGTTAGAAAACGATAATATATTAATAATTTTTGGGTGTCTTCTGCTAAAAATACGTTAAATGAAAATTTCCTATTCTCAATGGCTTAAATATGCATTACACGAAATCTTAGAAGCAGTGTTTTTTTGATAAAAAGATACTTTAACTCGATTCAATTCAATTTTATTGCTCCAACAGATTTTGGGTATTATGAAAGTCGTTTTCTATATGGTTCTTTTAGTGCACATATTTGGCATTGAATTAGAAAACTTGACGGCAAACTGGAGAGACAATCGGAAACTGGATATAATAACCGAGAGTATTTTCGTGAGCGAGTTTATCTTTACTAAACAAAGTACAACTTTTGTTCAAATTGAATGTGATTCGTTAAAATTTTAATTGCCTGGGCTAAAAGCAAAGTTATAATAAAGATGTTTGTAGAATAATGCCAGTCATTTGCGTGTCTCATTAGCATCTGAGATTCATAAGTTTCTCAAAGTTTATCAGAATTATTCTGTTAGTGGAAGTGGAAGATATTAGGGCTAATGCCTTGTGACAATTTAACTTGGAACGAATCAATAAGAAACCTGCTTGTAGGTGCTTGAGATAGAAATCTGGAATCTAGGACAGTGTCATAGAAATTGTGTGAAAATACTCGATGGGGGAAAAATACAATAAATTTTCAATCAAATAAAAAGTTAAACTTTTATTTTATTTTGTGAATTGTAGGTATATCCGAAACGGGAATGAATGAGAGGAGGGGGAGTATTAAAACAGACGTCTCGTGATTAAAAAAAAATCACAATAGAGGTAAGCCCCAAAAATCGATAGGAAAGGGATTTGGAAAACTAAGCCTCGCGAGAGTGATTAGTTGAGCCGAACACGTGCTGTCGCGTATATTGTTACCAAAATTCATCCAAATAAAGGAAGACGGAATAATAATTGAAATTACATCGAGATAAAAAACAATACATGTCTAAATGAAAATTGATGCCAAAAGCACATGGAGTGACACATTTCAAAATCTTTCCACACACAGGGATATAAAAAAAATATTTATAGAATTATGAATTAGCTGCTGGTGCTATTAATTATTTATAGGTTTACTTACAAGTCAGGACGAAAGCTTTTCAAGCAATCTACTGACCCTTTAATATTAAAGTAACTTTCAAAACTACTTATTACATACAGAGGAAAAATTGCAGTTAGAAAAATGTAGGGGTCGTCTCAATTTTATTGATTTAGTTTCTGTTTTTAGAATAATGGTTTCCTCACTTATATTCTTTCGAACTAATTATCCATGAAAAATATTGATATTTTTTACAAAATTTTGCACTTTTGATTTAAGTTTTCTGTTATTTGTGACAAACTAAGAAGTCATCACCTCTCTGGAAAACGCATATATCCAATTCGACATCTTATTAAAAAAAAAAAATAAGCTTAACTAATCTAAATAGGCATTCAGGATGATAGACCCAATCAGGAAGCTAGAAGCCACCAAACTTACAAATATCACCAAAAATCACATTCAAACGTAGAGAAATTGAAACTCCCTGAAAACCTTCACCAACATTTTACGTTTAATGTTTTATGTCTATATTTTCAGCTCCAGCGAGCAATTGTCATTATCCTGACGACATCGACAGGAGGACAGAGGAAGATCTTCAGGCAATTATCTATGCATTCAACCAGGCATACATCGGCCTCATGTCAACTTTAACAAGACACAGATTCTGCACCAACCCGCACCGGGCCATAAACCTCAAGCCACAAATGCAATTCTTTGCAGAGCCACAGATTACCTAATACAGATGCGAAAGTACGTATACTTGTCGTCGACGATATTCTGTGACGAAGCCGGGCCGCCAGCGCCCCGACGCATAGATAAAGATCGCCCGCGTCAGGACAATTAACGTGGCCAAGTGCGTGAGCATGTTCCAGCCTGTGTTTACATATTTTTGCGGGTAGAAAAAAATATTTTTTTGCTGTTTGTGAACCAATTAAAGAAATAATATTATATTATTGAGCTTCCGCATTTATATAATAAATATGTTCAAAATACATTGATGTGGCATTGGTGCGGCCAGCCTATGTCTATCAAATTAATCTTGAACCACGAATTCGCAGCTCTTTCGCATCTGTATGTAAGTAATCTGTGGCAGAGCGTAGATTTCTACCCATACCTTGGGAGCCACTTGTCAGCGGATGCAATCAATAACGCTGAAATTCAACATCGCTTGAAGTGTCTTCAACAATCACGACATAAGCGCTAACACCAAACTTCGCGTCTACAATGCAGTTGTAATACCAACACTTGAATATGGCTGCGAAACATGACCACCCACAGAAGACACATAAAACGCCTAGAAAAATAACAGCAGCAATGCCTAAGAAGAATCCCACGTATTAAATGGCAAGATCGATGAACGAACATTAGTGTTTAAGATGAGGTCAAAACAACGAGCAATGAAGCCCTCATCATTAAACATCAATTTCGCTGGACAGGTCACCTCGTCAATGAACGAAATACGGCTTCCACCAGAGATTCTCTACAATTAACTAAAAGAGGAAAAACGAATTCAAGGAAGGCAGCAAAAACTCTACAAAGATGTTCTTACGGAGAATATGGCAAAGTGCTGCATCGATACCAGCCAATTGGAGACGACGGCAAATGGCCCTCATGGCGTAGTCCATG